CATTCGACTTTTACGCGATCTTCCAAGAAATATGAATTACCGTGTTTACTTCGACAATTATTACACGACTTTGCCATTAGCTGTGGAACTACATAAAATCGGGATACTAAGCATTGGTACTGTACGGCGAGATAGACTTCCATCGTGTAAACTACCAACAGAGCGGTCCATGAAATCCCAACCCAGAGGAACTTGTCATGAGTTTACATGTACCATAGAAGGAGTAAATGTAAGTTCGGTAGTTTGGAAAGATACGAAATTAGTTCATTTTCTTTCGACCTGTTCTGGAAAGTTGCCAGTTCATTCTGCTCGAAGATATGACAGGAAGAATAAACGAGTGATTGAAGTGGAGTGCCCAAATATAGTAAAGATTTATAACACACACATGGGTGGTGTTGACCTACTTGATAGCCTTATTGGGCGCCATAAAATTAAACTCCGATCCAAGAAATGGTATATACGAATATTTTACCATTTACTGGATATTACAACAGTCAACTCGTGGATACTGTATAAACGCATTTCAAAAGAGCGAAACGAGAATAAAACTTTATCTTTAGCGGATTTCCGCATTGAAATCGGGGTAAGTTTATGTAGAATCGGCCAAACAGTGAAACCCCTTGGACGTCCATCGACTCGCGTGTCTCATGAAATAGAAGCTAAGAAAAGAAAGCCTAACGCAGCTTTTATTCCATCAAAAGATGTTCGAGAAGATAATTTATCTCATTTTCCAGTATGGGCGAGAGATCGGCAGCGCTGTAAGCTAGCTGGATGTTTAAGCTTATCTTATATTTATTCTGAAAAATGTAAAGTACATTTATGCCTCAATAAGGATCGTAACTTTTTTTCAGTTTTCCATGGCCATTAACAAACCGTTATCTCACGTACTTCTACAGAAATGTATAAATATGTTCTATAAAACCTTTTTGTATGTATGTATAATCAAAAATGAATAATCAAAATGAATTATGTTTTTATGTTATTTTTTCCCTTAATATTTTAAATTCTTCAAGAAGAATTATGTTATTTTTTATACTAAATGTAAGAAAACGCCATTAATTTATTTCAATTCCAAATAAATATCAAAAATTAAATTTTTGGAATATATGTGTTTGGTTTTAATACATAAGTGCATGATGTCTCATATATGATACAACCAGGGAAATCCATTTTCCACTGCCTTTCGACTTGCAAAGTTAAAAAGATATGTATTTTTCGATAATCCAGTATCCCAATTACACAAAAAAAAATATTTGTTTTTAAATAAAAAAAAGTCGTGCATGGAAGGGTTAAGAAACCCATACTAACCCTGACCACATTATGTTGTAGGGTATACTAATTATTTAGTATAAAACAAAATTGCCAACTTGTTAAATTTAGTAAATTCAATTAAAAATGTAAAATATGGGACAACAATAGCAAAACATTAACAATAACACAATAATAACTGCATGTTTTATTTTGGTCAATAGCAACATATCATGCATTCACTCATATTTTTTTTATTTTGCAGTTTTTTGATTTTATTTTCATGTTTTTTTTTGCAGTTGTTGTTAATCTACATGAAATGTCTTAACATGATCAAGGTTATTAATGTAGGCAAGCGATTGAAGATAAGAAAAAGAAAAACGTTTGTGCAAACTAATATTTTAATTATTTAGTGAAATAGGAGCAGAGAGAGAGAGAGAGAGAGAGAAAGAGATAGAGTGAGTGATATGAATGAAATGGGAAAAGTGTGGGTGGCAAGATTGGTGCACAAAATTCTATGAAAATCCTATATTCTCCAGTGATATCTGCCAAATTTTTCTAGAATATTGGAGCCACAATTATTCAAACGTATAACGGGGTATTAACATGTAAATTTACACTTCTTTGGGAATGTTTGTCATTTTTACTAAACGGCTATAAAAACGACAAAAGTTCCCAATTTTCTTTGTTACAGTTAAATTATATAAATTACTTTGATAAGATTTACGATTTCAAGATGGAATACATACTCTTAGACAAGGCTGTTTTATTATTCCTTAGGTCATTTACCTATGATATCATAACCTTACAACGGCGCACTTTCCCTCTCAAAGGAAACCAAATAATCCTGAAATCAGGGTTGCTTTTGACAACGGTCCAAGGTTCGGGAACTGAAACGAATTTCCTGTTCGTAGAAGGGAGATCATACATCCCAGCGGAAACAGCAGCGCTAGCTTATAATCGAGTTGAGCCACAGATGTCAAAATCTACTGCTCCCAGAGAACTGACAATGAAAATCAATATGTTACACGGTGAGCACAAGCGGGGAAAAAAGTGTTTTCAATCTCTGAACTCTGCGTTTCTGAGGGGAGAATTGAGGAGGTTCCTTTATTGTTTACAATGGTTTATGTTGCAAATTTCATTATTCCTCTAAATTTTGCAAAGCAACATAAGATTATTATTTCAAATTCAACTCTACAGGGTGATATGAAAAAACTGCAACAAACTTCAGACTGCTGTCATTTCTAAGCCACTCGTCCGACAGATGTTAAAATTAGTCCAGTGACAGCTCACTATATTGTTTACAAGCGTACAAAAGCATTTTGGTGAGAACTTTCCAGAAAAAAGTTGTTCGTTATGGAATACAAGCGTGATTTCTTTATATTTGGCTGGAAAACCACAAGTGGCTATCGTTAGAGCACTCCAGCATTTAAATGTAAATAAATCTTTTGTATCTCGTACCATCGCTCGTTACCGTGATACTGGTTGCGTAGCCCGACGTCAAGGAAGTGGACGGGAGAAAACAGCAACACCGGGAATGGGTCAAAAAACCGCAGAGAAAACATTCGGGCAACGTGTGACGATTTCATTGGCCGTTTGAAAGCCATAATCCGTTCCGAAGGTGACCAATTTGAACAAAACTAAACTTATTCTAAAATTTTTTTTTGGAAAGGAGGGTATATTAACTTTGTCATTCCGTTTGTAACATCCTTAAATATTCGTCGTAGACCCCATAAAGTATATTTATTCATAATCAGCATAAAATTCGAGTCGATTTAACGATGTCCGCTTGTCTGTCCGTCTGTTGAAATCACGATACAGCCCACATTATTTTCCCACGAGTGGCTTAGAAATGACAGAGCGCCAAAATTTAGCAGAGAAATTTGTATTGTGTCTAGGATGGTTGGTATTGAAAATGAGATATATCGGTCCACGTTCTGGTATTGTCCCCATATAACGGTACCTCCCGATATTCGGTATTTTGATGATTTATGCCACATTTTTTCACGGATTTGTCTGAAAATTGGTATTTGTAGGTCATAACGGGTCCCGGTACGTGTGGCAAAACATTGCATGTATAGGTCCACGTTATGGTATAGCCGCCATATAAAGGTACCTCCCGATATTCGGTATTTTGATTATTTTTGACACATTTTTTCACGGATTTGTCTAAAAATTGGTATTTGTTGGTCATAATGGGTTCCAGCTCCGGTAGCGAAACATTGCATGTATGGGTCCACGATTTGGTATAGCCCCCATATAAAGGTACCACCCGATATTCGGTATTTTGATGGTTTTTGTCACATTTTTTCACGAATTTCTCTGAAAATTGGTAGTTGTAGATCATAATGGGTCTCAGTTCGTGTGGCGAGTCATTGTAATTATAGGTCCACGTTTTGGTATAGCCCCCATATAACGGTACCTCCCGGTATTCGGTAATTTGATGATTTTTGTCACATTTTTTCACGTATTTGTCTGAAAATTGGTATTTGTAGGTCATAATGGGTTCTAGCTCCGATGGCGAAACATTGCATGTGTAGGTCCACGATTTGGTATAGCCTCATATAAAGATACCTCCCAATATTCGGCATTTTAATGGTTTTTGCCACATTTCTTCTAATGTTTCCTTTACCCTAAGGTGGAGGGTATTAAAAGTTTGGCCCGGCCGAACTTAATGTTTTTTACTTGTTTGCTTTCATTCAATAAAAATTTTTAAAAAATATGTAAAAATTATGGCGTTTGACTTTGTTGCAGTTTTTTTATCTCACCCTGTAATTCATGTCATGACCAGGAACTTTTTCGAGGAGTACCAGAACTGGCCAAGGCAGAATGTGCCAATTTCGGCATTGCTAATAATGACAACTCAATTTTGGATGCTGGTGCCAAAATATACATAACAATGAAGGCAATTGCTTTGGGCAGCTGCATCAAAAATGCAGAATTGAGCCTTTCCAATAAGTTTACATAGGTTTTCTGTCTATGTCGAGAAATTGTATTATTTTTCTGTTAAATTAACATTTTTCTCAATACGTGATTTTTTTAGAAAACTGTAAAAATCTATTCTCAATTAACCAATTTGCACCAACACAAAGTGGTTGTGATTTGCTACTACAATTTTACATAAAGCTTCGAGAACATTGTTTTTTAATGTCGACTATTGACGCTACTCATTTTTTATATTTAAAATAACACTGTAAGGGCTTTAAAAGTTTATAATTTTGAAAATAAATTTAAATTCTTGTAGGCATATATTTTATCAAATTAAGCGCTGAGATGACATATGGATGGATGTTCACGAAACAAACATATTTGTAAAGATAAAAGTTCTCTTGAAACTCAAAACTTTTCATTACAAAATTTATGTTTTTTTCTAGACATGACAAAACTTAATATAAGTATTATCAAGGAAATGTTTCGAATTTAAAATGAAAAGTTTCTAAAAGATTTTTGGTGATACTAAATTGTGAAAAATAGATTGCAAATGTGTTAGCGTTAACGATGCATAAAAACAACAAATACATGTGCAAGCCATTAACAACAATAAAAACAAACAACAGTTTTAGTTTTTCTACACATCAAAACATTTCAAACAATTATTACTATTATTATTATTATTATTTTGAAAACAAAACAAGCAAACAACAAACAAATCGTTGACATACGATACGTTTTTCTTTTTTTTTTTTTTTTTGCAAATTCATTCATTTTCTTCATTGTAACCTTCAACCAACAAAATAAAAATGAAAACTCACGATGCTGACAACCTGTTCGTTCTGAAAATAAAATAAAAAACAATACAGAAAAATGATAAATAATCAAATTTTGTGTTACAGAAAGAAGGAAGGAAAATTAAAAACAAAAATAAACAACAACAACATATTAAAAATAATCTCATTTGGAAGGCACAAATAAAAATGAAAGTAAAAGTGTAAACAAAGAGAAGTTACGTATACGTTTGTAAATAAAAATTAAAAATTCTACATAAAATACATATAAAGATTACAATCCAAAAAATAAATATCAACAATAAATTTAATTAACATCAATTAATTGTTTTCATTTCCATTTCAATATTTAATAACTCATAACTGGGTTAAAGACAATCAATCCAGTTTCATTCTTATATGGGTTAATGCATAAAAATTACGAATGACACACTTTTGCATCACACAAAGGTTTTGACGTTGATATGTCCAAATCGAAATACACACACAATTTGTGAATGGCAACCAAGTATTTTAAATACAACCCTAAAATTCTTCTTGAAAAAGTTGTTCTATAATCGCAGATCGTAACGAATTCAAATTCAATGGTCCTTCCACTAATCCTCCATTGTGTCAGCTTTAAAACATTTTCTGGTTCTTGTCCAAAATTACCCTATAAGTTACTGACAACCGGTGCGTGAACACTATATACTCTATATGAATGTTCTGGTCCACCTGTTGAAACTAAGACAGAGGTCAGTTAAGATTCCCACGAGGTTTTTAAAAATTCTGACACAATATGCCAAATTTTGGTTAGACATTTATCTGTCACAAAAGCTGGACCCTTCTGCTAACAATTTTACTTTGTTGCGTTATGATTATTTAAATTGTTGACCCTTAACATGGTTAGATTCTGAAAGAGTGCGATAATTATTTGATCCGACGTGGGGGAGGACTATAAGAAGTGTTCCGATATATTTCATCTTTAAAACTGATTTTGTGTTGGTATAAATATTGGAAAGTGCGGAACTTGAAGATAATTGGACTGTTATATTACATTGTATAAGAGTTATAATTATTCCAAATTTTGAACCCTTTGTGGGGGTGATACATCAGGTAGTGTTTTCGCATTTGACCATATAAATATTGGGATTTGCAAAGTTTGCAATTTTTTTTCTGTTCAAATTTTGACCTTTGGTGGGTGAGGTACCAGAAGGAGTTGAACGATATTACCCATTTCCGAACCTGATCTAAGTCTGATAATAATATTACCTTTTACCAAGTTTGGACTAAATCGGATACTACCTTCGAGAGTTATCGTGCGCACCAGACAGACAGACGGGCGTTCATTCCTAAATCGACTTCAAATGGCCTGAAACAGATTTGGTTCCAAGGGACCTAGGACTTGGAAAATAATTTAAATTCATATTTGTAAAAATATATTCAACAGAATTGTGTAAAAGTATTTCAGAGTTATCGGGCGCAGTAGCTGTCCAGACACACGGAAATGGCTAGGACGGCTTCAAATGTCCTGAAACAGATTTCTTTCTAACAAGTTAAAAAGTGTAAATAGGATTTCCCGACAGATGTATACCATCAGAAAATGTTCGATTATTTAAATATATTCTGTTATGATTTTTCAAAACGTTGGGGTAGGTTTTGAAGGAGTGGGCTAGGTTTGGACTATATTGGTTACTTCATTTACCTCATATGAGATTGTGATAATTTTTAGAAAATGTTAAAATATTCGTGAGTGTACCGGATATAGTCGACGGAAGTATTCCAATTTCATAGTTCATCTAATACAGTTAAAAACATTGGTGTGGGCAAAATTACAAGATAATCGAACATTTACAGGATAAGATAAAAAACTGCAAAAATTGCTGTCATTTCTAAGCCACTCGTCCGACAGCTGCTAAAATTATGCCAGTGACAGCTCATTATCTTGTTACAAGCTTACAAAACCATTTTGGTGAGAATTTTCCAGAAAAAAAATTATTCGTCATGGAATTCAAGCGTGATAGTGTGATTTCTTAATATTTGTCTGGAAAACCACAAGTGACTATCGTTAGAGCACCCCAGCATTTAAATGGGAATAAATCTTTTGTGTCTCGTACCATCGCTTGTTACCGTGATACTGGTAGCGTAACCCGACGTCAAGGAAGTGGATGGAAGAAAAAAGCAACATCAGCAGAAATGGTTCGAAAAGTAAAGAAGCGGCTAGATCAAAAACTGCGTCGCAGTGGCCGAAAAATGGCTCGTGAGTTGAACATATCGCAATGTTCCATTCGGCAAATATTGAAAAATGAGCTCGGGGTAAAGTCATTAAAATTCCAAAAATGCAAGAACTTACACCACAACAGAAAGAAAATAGACTCAAAAGAGCTGAAGAGTTGTTAACTTGGCCGAAAGTGGTTAACTGCCGAATTTGGTGTATTAAAGCCATGGGCACGCAAACATTTTGGCCGCAGACCTTGGACATTCCAACAGGACTCAGCACCATCACACTCAGCACGCTGAACCCAAGAATGGTTACAAAATGTGGTTCCTCGCTTCATTTCCAGCGCACAATGGCCACCAAAATCTCTCTGGAGTATTTTGGAAAACAAGGTTGGCACTAAAAATACCAAAGTGTGGACCTCAAGCAAGCGCTTCGCCGGCAATGGGTCAAAATACTGCAGAGCAACATTCAGGTAGCATGTGAAGGTTTCATTGGCCGTTTGAAGGACATAATTCGTGCCAAAGGTGACCAAATCGAACAAATCTAAACTTATTCTAAAATTTGATGCTATTTCCTACATTTTTCGCTTTCATTCAATAAAATTTTAAAAAAAAATTGTTTATACAAAACAACAATAAAGGGATTAAGCCTGACCATTTTGCAACAAAAAAATACTATGGTATCCCGAACAAACAAGCCAACACTGTTCTATTAATAGACAAAGCACGGTCGACGAAGGGATGGGTTGTTGTAACAGACAAAAATAACTTACATGGTTATGCTACTTCGTTCATGTAAAACGAAAGCATAACAAGTGGAGAAAGTGGAGATAAGTTTGGTTGTACGATTTAGAAGATTTACCAAAAGAATTTTAGTTTTATTTAATTCTTTGGTTCCTCTTCTATTGAGCTTACGATCTCGTCAATTGGGAAAAAAAGTTTTTTTTGTCATAGAAGTTATTTTTAAAATAACTTCTGGGGAGAATATCCCAGACAAAAAACAAGATAACTGATGAGAATTGGAGGCTCTTTCCGGATCCTAGATAGTCCCTGTTTTACCTTCTTTTTATCACATTTTATGCGAAATCATGAATTCCATATTTATCTCAGGTTTTTGGTTGAGAGAAATATTTAGATACAAAAAGTTGTCCCAAGATATGACAGATAAAAGTATTGAGTTGTGGGTGAGGTACCTTAAGGTGTTCGCAGATATATATCATTTTCACAACAGATCTTGTGTTAGTAAAACTGTTTGTGAAATTTAAAGAGAGTTGGATACTTATTTCGCTTTCTTCGATCGTATTTTTTTTTCGAATTCTTGAACCCTTTGTTGGGGAGGTGCTAGAAGGAGTGGACCAATGGAATCGGATGTTGATTTTGCGTTTTATGAACTTCATGGATATTCAAAATGTTAACCCTTTGTGGAAGATCGAGTGGAGCTATATATTTTTTTTTTTGAAGGTTTGGCCTTTTATGGGGGAAGTACAAGATTTTGACCATCTCCAAACTCGATCTAAGCTTCACAATAATATTACGATGTCGGTATATTTCTTAGCAAAAACTATAATAGTCCCAAACAAACTTACCGCACTTTTCATTTGGAAAATAGAACGACTTGGAAATTATGGCTTTGACTTGTCTATAGTAACTCAGCTTGGCTGCAGAACGTGAAGAACTAGCTATCAATGAATTTAAAAACTTTTAGAAACTCATCTTGTTTATAGTAAATACCATCGTTTTTCTATTAGATGTGTATGTCATTTGAACTGAACAAGTTAATTATATTAATTATTGTTTTATTTTATTTTAGGTGTCAATTAGAAGCAAAAATATTAAACTCGATTTTGAATAAAAATGAGTTTGAAAGTTTTTTTAACTGCGAAATAATTGCCAAATAATTTTCGAATGACATCAAGAGACGAATATGAAAAAAATTCTTTGATTGAGTTTTAATTCTCCTTTCACTTTAGGTTAGACAATTTAGAATGAATTAGCAAAGGAAGCTACTATAAATAAAAATGACAAATTGTTCGACAGATAGATATACGACATAAGCCGTAACTCAAACATCAAAGGTCTCATACATATATAAAATAACATTTGCCAAGTATTTTGCATACAAAGATCGACCAATCATCCGACAAACCCCCATGTAATTTAAGTTATATGCATTACTGAACTTGTCATTGCTCATTAAAAAAAATATATGAAATTCAAAGCTCTATGAAATATTCGTATCTTTCCATTATTTTATTTCTAAAATAAAATAATAACCAAATTGTAGTTTTTTTCGTTGTTGTTTCTTTATGGTTAATTTCCGTTTCATTGCCAAGCAGGTAAGTGGAACAGGTTTATGTGAAGTTGCTTGCGATTTGTCGTCGTGAAGCTTTGAGAGTTTTATGTGATATAAAACGTTAACGGTATGTACATAAATGACGTAATTGTTGAAGAAAACGTGGTCGAGTAGCTGGCCTGTATAAATTGGTATGTATGTACGTACATACAACTACACGGAAACAAGTATTTTACAATCAGGCCAAAATGGGAATTGGGTCTTATCAAAGCAAAAACGAAAGACTTTTTTGGGTTAATTTTGGTTCTCTGTTTGGTGGTAGAAAGGTATTCCACCAGCAAAGCCTAATGAATATTTCACACATCTATAGAAAGAAAGAAGACAATAAAAGTGTTCTGATTTCTTTCTTCTTTGTCGTAAAGCAAAAAACGAATATCAAAGCAAACTTGGTATAGAAATGTCGAATATAACATGACCACAATTAGTGGAGAAATCAATAATTGTTTGGCTTGTAGAACTCATCCAACACAGCCCCAAACCATTTACCAGCCACGGC